GAGTGAAAATTTTGGCTGCCATGCATTGTAACTTTTGCTCTATATGGTGTGACACTAACATGAGTAAACTTAACTCTGAAAATTTGTTTCTTACAGAAGTTGATTGGGAGGTTGAAAACATAGGCATCAAAACCTACTCAAATTTTTATTTACAAAAATGAAATAAAATTTAAATCCATATATAGTTTTCCTTTCAGTTTAAAATTATGCATGTTATTGTGTAAGTTTGTCACAAGATATTGCAATAAAAGTATCAAATCTGGTAGTTCTGTTGCCCATACTTTCGTAACCAAAATAATAAAGCAAAGAATTACACTAAATAGGGTAAAACTTATTCATAGACTGTATTCGGTGTTAGTCTTTTATGGAAAACACAAACTGTACTAAATACTTACAGCCTTCTAAAGTACAACAAATCCAATTAAAGGAATATTATGAAAGCAAACTGAAAAATAGGAGTTTCATGTGCTCTGGAGTTTACGTTGCAAACAGGGGACAGGTGTGAGCAAGAAAACGGAACACGTAAAAGAAAACCTGAAACCAAACAAATAATGCTACAAACATCTGAAAGACAGAAACAAAGTCCAACCCTTAGCCTTAATCAGTTCTTAAAAACTCCCATGCTAGAATTCATTCATGTCCTAGAATGCCCTCGATGTAACTCTTTACGGTTGTTTTATTTATTTAGCTTAGATCTTTGAAAATACTAATTAGCTCAACGTCTCCCTTCACTGCTCCCCAGCTGCAGCTGCTCATCCTCCACTCCAACACTCTCCATATTGACTGCATTATATATAAGGAGCTGCTATAATTAGACAAACCGTTTCCCCAACTGCCAGTTTAAATGGATTTGATAGAATTTTATTTGTTTAGATATGCTTCATAAATCGCCCTCGAAAGGATAGTAAAATTCAGTGAAGGGTAGTAGAAGGCTTAACCCTATGATTTCACCTTTAATGTTATAAAAGCATGCCCATGTAACCTTGGGGCGACAGTGGGGTCGGATGAAGGATTTTGCCCTTTAGTCTCTTTACAATTTATAAATTGTAAAGAGACTATTTATTAATTAATAACAGTTTATTATTCTTTGGTAATCATTTATAATTGCCGATTAAAACATTTATAGAAGATAAATATATCATACTTCCCTGCCATTTTGGTTTAGCCCTAACTCTAACATCAGTGGACTTAAGACCTTAACTTAGCCTTTATTTTTAATTTAACTGGACATGTTGCACTTACTCTTACCTAACACCAGAAGGCTTAATACTTTAAACCATCATTTATTTACTTTTTATTTAGATACAGTTAATCTACCATCAAACATTAATAAACTATTTGTTAATTGTTAATAAATGGTATCTTCACCATTTATAAATGATCGTTTTGATGGTTTTTGTAAAGTGTAACCAATTCGTTTTTTGTTTTTTTTTTGTTCTTGTTTTTTTAATTTAATTAAATTTTATTCCAAAAAGGATAGAGCATTAAATGGTTCTTACTCCTATTCTTGTACACACTCAGGGCCCAGACTTACAGTTTTTCCTCTAACTTTTCCAGACATTCTCAAAGTAAATGCACAATATTCTCAAAACTCTACATGCAATTTAAAAAAAAAAATCCACAGACACATCTTCAAAACGACTCAATTCAATACTTTTTGTTTGCAGGTAAAACACAAACCATCAAATAAATAAAACATTTATTAGAACCATTTGAACATTTATGTCAATGTAAAAGGTCAATTTAAAAATACTATGACGAATGGAAAGGGCAAATCATGAATCAGACATCTTTCTCTTCAATCTTATACCTTCTGCAGTTAGTACATAGGTGTGTTCTAACATGTTTACATCATTTCTTTTTTGTAGTCCCAAACTCAGAGCCCATTAAAAATTTGTATTTTATACAAGGTTTAGTATGTATTGTGTCCCCCAAAAAAGTACATCCAACCAACTCAAAGTTGCACATAGAGTTATACACACAAAAACAATATTCTACTCTAAATGTGGAGCTGATACATTATGTCCATCCTCTCATCTGTTGGGTTCTAGTCATAGCACTTTCTCCACATCAAGAGACAGAGGAAGTGATTGACTCTCATATTAATTCAAGCCATGAACTGTATCATGGCCTACATCTCCTCTGCATTGTAATTCAGCAGAACTGTTTCAAGGGGTTTGGGCATGAGTTGCATGATGTTGTCGTTGTACCTCAGGTACCAGTTTTTGTGTGTAAACAATTGAAAAAAACTGGAATGAAACTTTCACAATTTTTAGTGCTGAAGGGGCATATTTTTCAAAGTTCTTGTATTTCTATTTACCATCTCTCCTTTAATACCATAATGTGCTTTTGTTGAGTTTTTTTTTTTTGCCTTTAGGCTACAATTTCAGGACCAGTAATTTTTTTAAAGAGTGTGTCAACTGACTGAGCTAAAGGTCATGAACGTCATTAGACTAATAAACCTACCGTCTGGGACTGTTTTTACAATCCCCTTGGAGGAAGCGGAGCACAAAAGGTGGACAATGACATGAGAAGGCAGTGACAGAAATGTCAGTAAAGCTCTCTATGGGTTCAATTATAGCTAAATTGAGCACAAGCAGGAGGACCCTAATTAGTGTTCTGACTTGACACTTGTGTTTGTCAGAGGAGCCTTGTGCTGGAAACTAAAAATGAGGAGATAACAGGTAGTGGCTGAAATGTATTCCTGAAGTTTCACTTTAAGCCCACTGAAGAAAGATAACACTGACAACATGAAAAGGAGAGTAATCCTCTTTAAAGCAATGAAGAGGATATTCTCACTCGTCTCTGGATTATCATTCCTCTATTTTAAATAAGTATACAATTTCAGCATTGTTGAAACCAATAAGCTTTATTTACAGACTAAATACGGATTAATGAGCTTAAATCAGTAATTATTTTGACATAAAGCTTTTATCATTTAAGTTTTTTTCTATTATTTTATGACTCAGTTACTGGAATAAAAGCTACATAAATAGATTGTATTCAGTATTTGTTCTTTTCTTTTTATGCATGGTTTACTCTGTTGCATATTGGGGCAGTTCTTTGGATGTGTCTCCTAAAGCATACTAGGGACATCTACTGGCAAGACAAAAAAATCTGAACCAAATTGTATTAAAAAGGTTTAGAAAGAGTTATTTAGTTATTTTAAGCATATGTTGTAAAAGATCATTACAACTGGTGTCAGCAATGTTACTGTAGGCTGTTATTTATCTAAGTTATAAGACAATAAGAAATAAAAAAAATCTAGCATGGGTTCAAAAGCTATTTCTGTGCCGTCCAGTTTTTAGTGTGCATATTAACTGTATTACATCACCATAAGTGTTAGTGTGTGACTGGCTTTTATGTGTTGTTAGATTACAGCAAACAACATTGCAAAGTTTTCAGAGTTGGTGAGGTTCTTCGAGAGCCAGGCCCTCTGCTAGTGTTAATTTACTTTTTTATGATGTTCAAAGTCCCTCCAGAGTTTTACAAATGGTAAATGGTAAATGGCATGTACTTATATAGCGCCTTTATTCAAGTTAGGAGACTTGACCAAAGCGCTTTACACTACATTCATTCACCCATTCACGCACACACTCACACACTGATAGTGGCAAGCTACATTGTAGCCACAGCTGCCCTGGGGCTCACTGACAGAGACAGTTAGATTACATTATGTACTAATCTAATCATTTGGGAATCAGAATTTTTGATTTCTGCATCTGTAGACCATCTTCAAAATCAAACAGTTCCTTAAAAAAAAAAAAGAAAAAACAGACCTCCCACTCTCTCAAGCATGATTACTCTGTTGGGTCCCAGATTTGATTGGATGTATTCTACAAACAGCTAGTTCTAAGACATTCCTAAAAAACAAAAATTAGGACCCCAACAGGGATCCTGGTTGATACCTGGTCTCACCATGTGCAAGTAATATATATATATATATATATATATATATATATATATATATATATATATATATATATATATATATATATATATATATATATATATATATATATATATATATATATATATATATATATATGTGTGTGTGTGTGTGTGTGTGTGTGTGTAAAACATAAGATACTGCGCAGAACCCTCAAACTCCGAGGCGTCTGGTAGAGGACCCGAGCTTGAGGAAGACACATATCACCGCACTAGGGATGAGAAAATAATTATATATATATATATATATATATATATATATATATATATATATATATATATATATATATATATATATATATATATAGCGATGTTCAGTGATTATTAAAGTACATTTATGTCACTGCAATGTACTTTTCCCATTATGTTTATTTTCCTTTTTTTCCTCACATACAGCACTTTGAATTATCCTACTACTGAAATAAGCCAAATAAGGCATATAAACCCGCCTTTCCTTACTGAATTCTATAAATGTACATCAATATTCAATATGATTTTAACTTAATGAGTTGCACCTCTGTGTCAATGTGACCTTCACTTGTCTGTCTGTCAAATTTTGTGAATATTCAGCTCAACTGTATCCTGGCAAGTATCAGATGTTATTGATTACCTTTACTAAAAATGAATAATTTAAAGGGACATTTATCTTAGTTATAACTTCATGGCTTCTTATTAAGGGAACAGTTATATCCAGGCTACCTGATCATTAAAAATGCATACTTGAGTGATTTAGTGTAATCAGGCAACATACTGCAGCTCATCAGTATGCTGCAAGGAAAACAGGAGTCTGGCAAAACTGTTCAAGGGCTCTCAAGTACTTACTCAAAGTCAGAGGTATTACATTAGTATTGATTGGGAGCTACTTCCCTCTGTATTTATAGGAAAAGTGTTGAAATAATCTATTATTTAAAAACACAAGGTTTATAAGGGTTATTTTTGATTCCAGCTTGTTTGGAGGCAACAAATCATATATAATCATGGTTATAAAACACAGAACTACATTTCCCAGAATGCCAGAGAAGCTCAACTGCGTTGTTTTTCTGCCACTGTGCGGCTTTGGATAGGAAGTGCAAAGAAATGTGCTCATTCATTCATAGTCACTACCATGCAGGCAGCTGAGCCGGGATCATCGGAAGCTGGAACAGCGACATGTAGAGAAATAATAAAGGAGATCCAGAAAGTGTCTAAAAATGGACTGAAGAATAATGTGCCTCGGCGATAAGTATAACCATCACCATCATGTTCCCGGGAGTTTTCTATGCATTACTAGCGGGTTTCCTCGGAGCCGTGGCATCGTCGTCGGCCAAACTGTCCCTGGGAGCCGACTATCTGAAAGGAGTCTGTGAAACCGGACTCCGGACGTGGGGTGAGCAGCGGAAATTCAGACACGCGGATGAAACCACAGCCTGTGACAGGGTGAGTCTAATGTCTGTTAATTATTAATAACACAAACATGATGTCTGGGAATGGGCCGGTTCTGTTATGGGGGGCATATCCTCTCCTCCATGAGTCCCATGTCTTCAGCACCACGGACAGCGTCACGCCACGGGCACCCTGCGGCATCTGCTCTCTCTCCTGCCGTCGCCGCGTGCAGAAGGACATCGCGGCTCGTGCGGGATCCCGTTGTTCTGTGAGCGGGTCTCGTGTCGCTCCTGAAGATGATGATGATGATGGTGATGAAGGCGCAGAATGATTCAGAGGGATCCAAGTTTCTGGCGTGACCTTAGCTCCGTCTCTGCGTCATTCTGGTGATGTCAAAAACATCTGCAGACAGGCTTTTTGTTTATTTATCCTAATCATACATCTATATTCATAGCAACATTTGGGAAAAGGGCGGGTAGGAGAATTTAAACGACCTTCATTAAATTCCAGCATGTGTTTTTTTATGCGTCATTTTAGGATTGAGGTATTTCTGGCATACCAATTAGGGAATGTCGCAATCCTGTGGGATACCCTGCTTTAACAAGGTCAAAATCCTTGTACGTATGGCAAGCTCATTTATCACATCGTGGCAAAATGGTATCTTCATACTTAAGTTTCCAGTTTAGCCAATTAACGTTAAAATAGACACCTTGGCTTTTTATGATGCTGTTGTTTCAATACATATCAACTTAAGGGAATTTGTTCAGTTGAATAGATATAATTTAATTTCACATTGTGATAGTGACTTGGTCAAGAGACTTTTGGATTTCTACATACACTCTATTAAATGGCTTAACTAATGATAGGGCTTTACTTTCTTAGTTCATGAAGGTTGAAACTTCCTGACTAGAGAGAAACTGAGACCAATTTTATTTTGAAGTCAAACCCAAGTCATCTTTTGTATATGGCTTAAAGTTGTAATATTTTTAGTAATTAAGAATAATCTTCTCATAATTTAAGTAGTATTTTAGTGTTAGTACCATTTCTTCTCTTGGGGCTGGCATGGTTTTTAGCACTGTAGCCTTTCAGCAAGAAGGGAGCTCTTTATGCCTTGAGTATGCATGTGCACCCTGTGCATGTGTGGATTCTCTCCGGGTACCCGGCTTCTTCCCAAAGTCCAAAATCATGACTGTTAGGTTATTTGGCATCTCAAATTCTCTAAATTGACCTTAGGTGTAAGTGTGTGTGCATGGTAGTACATCTTCATTTGTCTCTGTGCTGCTCTGCGATAGGCTGGCGACCTGTCCAGGGTGCACCCCGCCTCTCGCCCATAGACTGTCTGAGATAGGCATCGGCCCTACCGTGACCCCAACAGAATAAGAGGGAGATGATGGATGGATGGATGGATGGATGGATGGATGGATGGATGGATGGATGAATGGATGGATGGATGGATGGATGGATGGATGGATGGATGGATGGATGGATGGATGGATGGATGGATGGATGGATGGATGGATGGACATTTCTTCTCCTAAGTGTTATTTGCAATACACATAAAAACAATACCTTGTAATTATTTATAGTATTATAACTATTTTATATTGAAATCATTTTGCCTTCTTAAACTGTTTTATTAGTCTTATCAGGATTATACATAATTTACTTACTTAAAATTTTTCTGAAAATTTTTCTGTTCAAGATTCTTTATTATCTAAAAATAAACTTAGATTTTTTTGCCTCAGTATAACATGACAGGCAGATCATATCGGTTCATTTCTTTCTTTTCATTCCACTCAAAAAACCAAGACATTCAGAAGTGATCAAACACTGTATGGCTGCGTGCCTGAATCCAAGAGCTCACTGCCCCAATAGCAAACTCTAATATATTCCAGGTACTGCAGTCACCTGTCTATAATAAAGGGGTGGAGGCCAGAAACAGCATCAGTTAAACACAGCAGCAAAAAATACAACTAAACAATCCATTATTTCATATTTAAGTCAATTCATACTTCAAACCAAAATATTTCACATTTACATATGTCAGAAATCTAACAAAAGGTAAACAGCTAAAACACTGGAGTTGTTGAAAAGCTTTGCAAAAGAGATTGGTTTTGAGCTCGCTTTAAAAGCATCCACAGAACCAAGGGAAGGTAATGAGAGTGGGAGATTTAATTCCACAGCCTTGGACCTACAGCCTGAAAGGAGCGTAGTATCTCGTCTTGAAACTTGTAAAGGGACCATTGTGCTTCAAGTGTGCTTCAAGTTTTTAGTTTCTTGGGGAGTTTTATTAAAAAAGGCAATTTATTTAACCAGAGAAACAGTCTTGTTTTTATTTTCACTAAAATAGAGATTTGTGTACTGAGATTGTCATAGTTTTCATACAAAGCAGTATGTTCAGTGTTAACATTCGAAACAAATGTGGAATCTTTTTTTACATCACAGGCTCAGAGTTAAATTATGTATATAAAAACAAAGCAATAGATAGATGGTTTTACAGTAAATATGTTTTGATACCCATATATTTCCTTTGTTTTCTAGCTCCACATCCCTCTGAGGCTGCTGTGTGGTGGTCTTCTTTTCACCTGCAATGCTGTGATGTGGACCTTCCTTGCTAAAGCACTCAGGTACTCCTCTTCCTCTACCCGCACCACTGTGACCACCACTGCCTCCAATTTCGTATCTTCCGTAAGTAGAAACATCTGCAGTTTTCTCTTTACATCCTCTCAGTCCTAGTGCTTTTGTTGTTAAGAATAAAACCAGTTTAAAGGATCTCAGACAAGTTACCCTATTTTAGAAGGTAGGCTGGATTTCATTGAAGAATGAGATCTCATTTCAATAAATGTAGGTTGTTCATTAATCTTGTTCTAAAAACGAAAGTGTGTTTTTACTCTCCCTTCTGATTGCAGGCTTTCCTGGGCCAACTGATCTTTGGGGAACCCCAGTTAACACTGTGGTGGGTCGGGATCTCTTTGACCTTTTCAGGTCTGTTGGTTCTGCAGAGGATTTCACCACAGGATAGACATCAGACAGCAGTCACGACAAAGGACGAATAGCATGTTGTCTCCACTAGCTGGCTGAGCTGTGCTTGGGCTAACACCTCCTATGTTCTAAAGCAAAGCCAAAGACAAAATCTGAAAACAGAGATTTTATTGAACACATTCGCTCGTTAATAGCAGCCCAAGTGCATATGTGAAAAAGCTACAGCCCTTAAGTGAAAAAAAGAGGTCTTCCAGTCATATCAAATAAACCAACCACTCCCCTTCATCCATGCAAAAACCAGCTCTAAAATTAAGGAGAATTATGCCATTAGAGAGAATCTGCTTCTATGGCACAGCTACAGTCTTGCTTGTGGAGATAAACAAACAGATGCCCGGTTCCAGCTCCTTGCAAGCTCTTAAATCATTATATAAACAGGTTCACACAGAAAGGGAATATCTTTCCAGCTATTTTTGATGCATAATCTGAAAACCATAGCACAAAAACCGTAAGGTAAAAAAACTGACGGAACAAACAGCATGATATTTTTGGAGTGGAAACTAAAGACTTTGTCATTGGTAGGGGAGCAGAAGTCTATATCATTTTCATGTTTTTGGATGAAACAGTAGGCCACAGTTATCTGGAACAATGCTGCAGTACATTTTATTTCCAAAACTGAAATTTAAGTTAAAATAAACTCAGTAGTCTCTGAAATAAAAAAAATACTATTTTTTTCACAGCCCACTTTCTTAAAATCCAATATATCTGCCACATATTCAAAGGGCATATATGATCTAATGTACAATTCTTATTATTTTAGTTGTTTCCAGCCTTGTAGTTGATGATAGATACACTAATCTTTATGTCCAACATTGAGAGATATTATAAAAATAAAACACATGGCAGCTGAGGACCTCGCCAAAGCGGATAAACAGTGCTGGTGTTTTATTTAGAAAGCCAAACTTGGTGGTCATGCAGAAGAAAATCATTCCAGCAAAGTTTCTAGCTTGGATTTAAGTGCATAAAAAGACTTATTCATGAAGGAGGATATCAGATAGTATTTTTATAGCTTGGGGACCCGAAAAAACCCAAAGTTTCCTCAGCTGTAGGTTACTGATTTTCTTAAACACATGAACCCCCTGGTGTCCTTGTTGTTTTTTTATTTGCTGCCAAGAAGCAGCCCTTCAGTTTTATATATCAGAAACCTTGGATCTAGATAACAAATTGTCACCCATACATTGGACTCAATTACTTTATAAAGTCAGAAATAACCAAAGTAATCCAAATGTGCTTTTAATTTTAATTTTAGGTAGGTACCTTCAAAATCAATACAAAAGCAGATTTATTATTTTGGTTTTATACTTTTAATTTGTCTTGGATTTATGGCTTTAAAGATTAGCAAATTAACAAAAGAAAATAAAAAAATGGAAACAAAGAAAAATAGTTAATCTCCTCACCGAGAAAGTTATTCATAAATGATACTTGCTTTCCAACTTTTAACACTGTAACAAGCTATAACACTGTTATGAACGAAAATACTTCATTTTTGTTCTTAATTTTAAGAGGGGAAGAATAAAACATGATGCCTTGAATACAGGGATTGTAATCCGGGCTAACCAGAAGAAACACTTCTTCTTTGAGAAGATTTTTGAACTTCTTATACAGTAAAACATTAATGTGTCTTTAACCAACTATTCCATGAAATTTCATTTGGGCATAGAGATAATATCATTGTTTTTATTAGATAAAATAAGTGCATTACTTTAATTTGGACCTATATGTTTAGATGTAAGGGCCACTTAAGGTGTATTAAAAATAACAGTAGGCACTGTTAGGTCATATTGTGGTTTATAGACTGATGTTTGACGTATGAAACTCACATTTTGGAGATCAATAGTTTAAAAATCAAATATCGTAAGGAGGAGCTGAGCAGCTTTTTTTAAACAGCTAACATGTCCGAAATGGTGTTTTAGTCACAAAGAATGCCTTCCAAAAACTCTGCTGGGTTTGCTATAATTTTTATAGAATTTGACGTAACACTGTACAATTTGGGGCTCGAAAAGGATAAAAAGTACAGTTTTAATCCACAGTGAAAACATATAACATTGCTTGAAACCAGTTTGTGGTCCAAAGATCAATGGAAAAATTAAGTAAAGAATTTTTTCAGTACTTCTGCACGTGTTTTGCAGGTTGCATTTGGTTGTGGGTTTTAGCTCTAAACCCTTTTTTTTTCTATCATAACAAACACATTTGTCATCAGAGTTTTAAAATAGCACAGTATGCAACTGGATTTAAAACTAAAAGTGCCCAGACTAGTCATACAGAGACCCAGTCTGATGCAAAATTAAATTAAACTCAATAAACTGCAAACTTACAAAGAAATGAGCTATGAAGTGTGATGCTCTACATTTAACTAGTGTTAATTATTATATTTTTCCCACCTCACCATTGGCATTAAGCAAAATGATTCAGAATATTGTGGGTTCTCTTATTTTCATTATTTAACCTATCATTGGTTCTGTAGAACAGCTTAGTTGTTTTTCTCAGATCCAAGCATAAAAAAGCTACTATGATGTTGTGCATTCTCTGAAGGCTACATAGCCAATCATGTCCTCAAGCAGATCAGTCTGCTTAAGTTTTAGTCTGACTCAGTTATATGGTATAATATCCCGTTCTAGATCATTGTGATCATAGGCAAACCTTTGTTCCTTATTTTAAAAAGACAGCTTGGTTTTAAACATTGAAAATATAAATGACATTTCAGCTGCTTTCTGCAGATTTCCTTCTAACAGAAAAAGCTCTTTTGGCACAGCAGCATACAGAAGTCACATGAAAAAAAACAAAGGAAGCTGCAGCAACCAATGCAGTCTCTAATTCACTTTTAAACATTGTCATAAAAAGTAAAACAACATTTGAATTGTCAGAGAGATTCCAGATTTGTTGCTCCAACAAACTAATGTAAACGGCCCAAATAAATGTCTAAATTCTACAAAGTACGCGACCATGTAGACTGACTATTTGTTCTAAGTGTTTTTGATCAACAACCTTGATACCAATAATTTAAAAATATTGTGATTGGTACATTGCTATTTGCTTTAAATACTGTATAAAATGAATTCATACAGTATGTGCAGGAGCAGGATGAAACAATAAATGTGCATACATACAGTAGGAAGTTAATATGACATACAACCAAATCTTGATGCCAATATGATCATGATGACTGGGCAACTCCTTAAAGTCTTTCTTAATTCCCACTTTTCCTTTAGTTACCATGACACTCGCTGTAAAAACATGCAACAGGCTCACTGCATTTATTGTACAGCTCAGTTTAAGTAACATTCCTGGCTAACAAAGTGCTCCCTTATTCTTTAACAACTGTAATAATGTAGCACTGCAATGCTCATCCTTTGTCAGGATTTGCTTCCTCTCTGGGTTTCTATTTTGTTATTACGTATGCTGTTTATTACTTGAACTTTATTTTCTGCAAATGACTGTGAAACAAACTGTTTGATTCTAAGGCAGCTGCTGCACTTCAATCATATGATGTGTGTGTGTGTGCATGTTTTCACCAAATGCTGGATAAATCACACCAAAGCATCTTCGAGTTAAGCATCAATCAGCATCAGAGTGATGCACCTGTGAAATATTTTTTTGAACTCGACGGGGACCCATTGTCAGCTGCGTGCACAGTATATGCGACCATCTATAATACCCTTCGACATATAGTGTCTCTGATTTTGGGGTGGGAATTTAGTAGTAGTATGTTTCCTTCAGCAGCCAAAAATGAAAAAAAAAAAAAAAAAAAGAAACAAGTAATGCATTATGAAAAATACCAGTTGTGATGTCCTTCTATCCTGCATGTCTCAGCTGCCTGTGGTTAAAGGTGGAGATCACTTTATGAAATGCTTCTGTTAATAAAAAGCACAAATCTAAAACAATTAGATTTGACTCAGTTATGGATGCACAGGTTTCATCGAACATTCTTTATTTTAACCCTTTAAAGCCTAAGGTATCATATTTGAGTTTTTGAGACCTCTGTAACATCAGTTTGATGTTTTTGTTCTTGAAATCCTGACTTACACAATCAGACACACGCACTAAATGGAAAACCTGTAAAATATTATACAGAAATGCCTGTATAAAATTTGACCCGAATAAATGATCTAATTTCACTTAAACAAAATGTATGTTTCTTTTTATTTCATTTGTCAGGAAGTTCAATCATGATTCTAATTTTAAAAAATGTGAAATTTGTGTCAGTTATTTATTGGTTCAGGCTTTAAAGGATTAATTTAGGAGGACAGCTATCACACCTGGCTATGAAATCCTGCAGAAACAATGCACACAATTAGATGTCCTTCCAATGGTTACTGTGCAAGTTTTAGACCTAGATAAAATCCCTGTTAATGTGACACAGCAACAGTCTGATTATAATGTTAGGTTGTTATATTTAAGGCAAGCCAAGACATTAATCAGCTCTACTTGTTTCTGTCTCCTGTTTGTTCTATAATTCTTATAGGCAATACCATTAATAGACCACTTGCTATTACTGGTGTGGGACACGCTTCACAGTGCTGTAAAAGTTATTTTCTCACATATTTTTCTGTTTTACGTCAGTGTTTGATCATCAGATCATTTTGATATGACTCCGTTTGCCCAAGTTAATGCAAAATGTACAGTAGTTTTTATAAGGATTATGTTTAAGAAGTTAAAAGCTATTGCTGGACCTGAAGGAAAACTGAAATGTTTATTAAGCCTATTATTTGGTAAATAGTGTTTAAGTGAAAGAGGCATCGCAGTTAGATCACTAATTGACTGACATTTTTATTCCACGCTTTCTGCTAGACTAGAATTCATCAATAAGGGGAAGTCGTCGATGTCCTGAACCAGAAAAGCATGTATGTTGTGTTCCTTTTACAGATCTTTGAAACCACTTTATGTTGCAGAGCAAATTCTGCTTAAGTGATTTCTTGATTCTGGTGAAACTGAGGGAAATATGAGACTAATGTTGACAAAGGATTTCTTGTTACAACAATGGTTGAAGTTCATTCATCACTTTTGGAAAGGTTGAATAATAATAAATAAAGTCATTTTCGGAAAAAGCTTTTTTTGTGTTTATTCTGGTTATCTTTGATATTGAAAGTTGTTCTACTGATTTATTTACGTTTGACAAAAAAAAATAAAAAATTAAGAAGGACTCAGAGTTCCAACATGTGACTGACTTTGGATCAACCAATTACAACTAGAGACAGCGAAATGAGTTTGGGCTTTAAAAATACGTTACAACAACTTCTCTTTCATCTGTTAGGTATGGAAGCCCGTTTCTGTGACATGAAAATAAAAACATGCCAAATAGAAAGTCATAATTATGAGACATTCAACTTTCAAACTTTGTATCTTGTAATTATGACTTTGAAAGTTGAAATTATGACTACAAATTTCATAATTATGACTTAATTATTTGAGATTATTTTATTTTCATGTAGCAGAAATTGGCTTCCATAAAACAGGCAATTTAGCCAGTTTCTTATGGTAATTTTTTTATTTCATTTTTTTTTTTTTTTTTTTTTACATTTAACCTACAGTGTAAAAGGCCATGAAGATAGACAAATCCACCTTGACCTAATTTTTTCACCAATTCCCTAAACATTCAGACCCATAGGTAAAAGCTGGTGAAGCAACTTGAGAATACAAAAAACACATACAGATGATTAAGAAATAAATTCTCAGGCAACTTTATTAAGCTCAGTTCCGTGTCAACAGAAATTACAAGCCAGCCAATCACATTGGAGCAACTAAATACATCAAGGAATCTGCAAATGTTGAAGATATCTTGGTAAAGTTTAAAATAAGGTCCCCAGACTCCAAGACGGGATTTAAGTTAAAATGATTATGGCGTCTTTATTTGTCTCATTAACTTAAACGATAACAAAGATCTGTTCTACATCCCAGGCAAATAAAGAGACTAAAGTACATTTCTACCCAGGTTGCTCCACACCAAGAGTATAAACCAACATAAAGATGCCTTAAAAATCCATCAGACTGGTTGGAATAAATCCTCCTGCAACTTTATGCCTGGCTTGTTTCCAGTTAATTGCAAATGTGTCGTAGGTGAACCATGTAACATGTTAAGGGTGGTAAAAACAAAATCAACTTTAAAATTATTAAAGAAAATTCAACCTCCCACTGTACTTTGATCTGTAATTTGATTACTTTGATCTTAATATGAAAAATTTTTTTTAATGCATTGCCACTCAAATTAAAACCATTAGGGCTAAGGATTAAATATTGACTGGAGAAGATCCCATGTTGTCAAACCTGATGACGTATTAGTTTGTTGAATATCGGATGGATTATACTTCTAACCTGAAAAGAAATTTAGTTTTTTTCCCTAAAGGTTCTGATTGTGAGATTTTCAAGCAAGATCTAATAAATGTCTTTTAGCTTAGGCTAACCTGGCATTTGTCTTAGTGCAAATAAAGTGCTAATTGTAATGTGTAAATTGCTCATTTAACCTGAGTGAAGAAACACTTTTTATCAATCAAATCCTCACCTAATGAAGTTATGCTCTGCATCATTTAAGTGTTCTTGTTTGCAATGTCTCACACATTTTTCATTATGCTAGTTTTCCACCCAAATAGAGTATGGAAGACCTTTCATGCAGTCAAGGCTGAGTGAGAAGCATATTAGCTCCACAAATAAAGATATGTCAACAAGAATAGTCATTCTTTATAGAACTGCCATTCTCAATTAAAGATGAAAGTCTTTCAGAGAATATCTATATATACCAGCTTTGCACTCCGAGCCTGACTGAGTGTTGGCTGTTTAGCAATTACTGTATTTCAAAATAAATGGAGAGTGAACACAAGTTTTTCAAAAACTTCTGAATATAACTGAGGCCTGGACCTTAACACATGAATATGGTGTAATCCAAATTACTTTGATGAAGCTTTAGCTGTTAAAGGTTGTTCTCCTGATGGACCAGAGTCTCAAGTTTTTTAACGGCTTTTCTTAATAGTGTTCCACAATACATTCCTCTTGTAAAACATGTCCTAAACTCTAACTTTACCAGGCTATGCTAGAGAAAAACATGTTCTCTATTATGATTCAAGGTGTTTAGCAAAGCAATTATGTTTACACACAAATCAAATACAGCCAGTAAGGGGTAAAATCTTTAATAACCATCAGCAATACTGCAACTTAATGTTTTTCATGATCAAACCAAAATAAAAACATTTTCAATACTTTTTCCATCCCAGCAGTGAATCTTATAGAACTCAAAGTTTTTTTTTATTGAATTTCCCCTTTAAACATCACAGTTAACAAGAAAACAACAAAAAAGTCAAATTCAAATCTGATGACAGAGTAAAATATAGAAATGAGTTAAAATTGTTGCAGTGTTTCATCAACTTGTTATAACAGAGACAGTTATAAAAATAAAACAGTTTAATCACCTTTTTTATGACAAACACAACCATGCTTTACATAAGAGTCTCCATTCATTAAAGACTCCATTTGGCAACAAAGAAACTCAAAGATTTGCTTTAATCTGCAATTAGATGTCTTTAAATACAGTAAGGCTTTGAAATACACAAGCAAAGGCATTTTTAGTGTTAAATGCTCTCAAGTGGTTGTTTTCCTTTGTACATTATCATCTCTACCCTCAGAGTCGAAGCAAGTCTTTACCCTATTTTGGGTCCTAACTGGTCTTAAAACAGCTCTGAATGCTTAATGCATTCTCCATAGCAGCTGGTGAGGGGTTTAAACATAGACAATTATCAGATAAGAAAAGGATGCTGGTTTATCTTCCATCTGAAAACCTAAAGTCAAGATGAGACTAAAGACTGTTAAATCTACAATAAACTGAATTTTGAAACATTGACAGGTGCTATGGACAAACTCCAATATTGCTTATCTTATTTTTATGATTTAATCCAAAATGTTTCAGCTTAGTGAAACATCTTATTTGGAAAAAACAAAAAACAAAAAAAAAACAAAAAAACAATTGTAACTATTCTTTTTATAAGTCATGATTATTTCATTGTGTTGATATCAGGATATTTCATACCTGATCAGTGACACTAACATCAAACTTTCCAAAAGGTTTAGGTTTAAAAAAAACAAAAACACAAAGCACCTTCCTATTAAAAATCAAGCAGCAAATCATTGTGTTAAGACATGCAATAGCATAAAGATTAAAAGAAGCAGAGAGATCTGACAGTGAAGCAGGACGAATCGATCATTTTGACTTTTTTGTTTTTACCCATTTCATTTTTCTTTCACTCTAAACCTATCAGAATTACAAACAGCTTTTATTCTATTATTTCATCAGGATTTTCAACTTGGAATCTTTTTAGTTCCTTAAAGATGCTTTTTCAGTCTAAATGCATCTAAACTTCACCAGAAAGCTTAAAAATACATGATGGAGCACAGTAGTACACTACAGGGCAAAATATATATATATATATCCCAGAAATAACATGCAAAACTGCTCATTTTTACTCAAACACATACCCAACCCACATTTACTAGAATCACAGAACTTTGCTGTTTTTCCAGAGCTTTAGCATCCTCCACATTTGTTGGCTGCCCCTGTATTGGTTAGTAATGACCTATAATCTATTTATATATATATAAATTCTTGAAATCATAGGTGAGATTATCAAATCAAATGTAGTTGAAAGATATTTAAGATTTATACTTCACTTTTCCATTGTTATAGAATTATTTTAAATAAGTCAAGTATTATTCTCTGCTTTCTGCTTCCATTAAAAATCAGAAAGAGAAGAGAATATGCAGTTTCAATATAAAGCAGACATGTTAACCGTCCCGTGCGTCCTCTCTGTCTAAACATAGCTAAATCTAGAAATAAAGCAATAATTAGAAAATTTAGAAAAACTTTGAGAGGTAAAAAAAAAATCTCAAACTGATATTAGAAACTAAGAGCAAACAATTTTATATTAAGCTACAGGAGATTAATTTATTCTACACATGCATGTTTACTAGGTGGGCCAATAAATCTGGAGGATGCTGCTTATGAGAAAGGAGTTCATGATGAGATGATGTTTAATTTACCACAGAGTCAAACCGTGCTGTAATATCAAAGTAATAACTTAAACAGACATCTGTGTGCTTATTGCTTTTCTTTTTCAGATAGTTGTTGCACCCGTTACACATAAAATGATCTAAATCTCCTCAAACATGATTCCTCTGCTTTTGTGGGATCCTAACGGAGGGGAAAATATGCATGAAACAATCTTAAAACACATTCCTGAACAACAACCCTGAATGCAGAGGGCTACATCCCTTAGAAAAAAACAAGATGTAAACAGGTGACGACCTGCTGAGTAACATTAAGGCAATAAATAGCTATATCAGATGTGCCTCTTGCTAAATAACCATTTGAAGGCTAATCATCTGCAGCATTCAGGAGAAGATTATCGAAAAGACCCTAAAACAGCAAACTAAGAGAGCAGATGGAGAGATTGTTTACAGGAAGACAAATCCAGGGGTTCATCTAATACCTGGATCATGCTGGTCATCTGTTCACATGATTTAATTTCAGAAGGAAGGAAATGATCTGACATACTGCAGCCAACAGAGCTCGGTTTTCTGCTACCAACTGCCTCCCATCTTTCAGCTGATTGTGGTTCTCGGTGCAGCTTCATTGTGCCAACAAATTATAATCTCATTCAACACTAAGAGATAAACAAACAAATGAAAGCAACTAAAGGCATAAAACAGAACCCAAGGATAGACAGACTTCAAGAAATATCCACCATTCAGATAGGAAAATGAAAAGATGCTTAAAATAAGTTCATGTCCAGGTCATGAGTGCTTTCAGTTTAGTCTCCAGCTTTCACACGATGTACTGGTATACGTCGGCCTTGCCATGGTCCGGCGTCGCAAACGGGCTGAGCCAGGCTATAGAGAAGGGGTGGCCGAACACGACCTTCATGTTCATCCATTTGGACCTTTTGGCCCATCTTCTCTCCTCCTTTTTTAGCTGTTCGATGCCCTGTAGAGGTAAAATAAACACTTTCAATGTCAATGTAGGAATAAAATAAAGGGGGGAGGGAAATTAATCATGTTTTCATTCTTTTGTTTTTTTTCTTCCACAGAGTCTAAGTGACTCACACACTTTCCTCATAAACAAACTGAACTGCAGGCTCCATTGCCTTGAAATTGACTGAGACAGATTATCTTTGTAGTGAGTATTATAGCGCCGTGAGTCATGCTTGTGGGTGTACTGAAGTCAACATGGCAGAGGGCTGGAAGTGAATTACCTGCTTTTTAATAGAGCTGAAGTCTGTGTTCTCTATAGGGAAATTATAAAAGCTAAATATAAGCTGAAGGGGTCAAACGGCAGACCCTTGTAACTCTGTGAGCCGCTCAGGATAATCATCAGCTCTACATAGAAAATGAAGGAACAAATGAGAAGATAAACAATATAAGGAGCTAAACATTGTGATGGCAATATGAAGGCCTGATTTCACTTCCTTACCAAACACAGAGTTGTTTTCCAAAATGCGTATAGATTTAGAATCAACAATTTATATGTTACTTTGATTCATTTCCCTTACAAACAGGAGTACAAATACAGTTGTGTCATTTACAACTACTTAAAATAACACAGTTAATCCTCCACACATCTACCAATGAATCCATCACTCCAACACCATTAATCATCCATCCAGCCTAACAAGCTGTAACACTTTTTTTGATTGTTTTTACTTCCAAAGGACTTCCTAAAGACTTTTAGGGATGTTCAATCTGCTCGAAAGTGTTATTATATGTTTCTGTGCTGAATATATTTGCATTATAAACCGAGTCTCTCCACGAAAACACAACTATGGGTCCACCGAGACAAAGAAGATTGATTAATCGCGTTATAGTTAATTCTACTCAATATGGTGAATCTTCTCTTCAAATCAGGCTTTCACTAATTTGAGCTACAACAATCCAGGATCATCTGGTGTCTGGACCGGCGGGGGTGAATTTCAGTCCGGACGGATGTTTCTTCTTGGCTCTACCTTTCTCACATCTCATCAAAAATAGGCAGTTATCCTGAGCCATTACGGTATTTGTGTTTGTGCTGCTATATGTTTTAACTGGTGTATCACATAGGGAAAACTTTTAATCTTTCTGCTTCAATTCTCCCCTCTTTTTCTCATCCTGTGCTCTGTCCCTGTTCGGTTGTGACTCCATCCTGGATTGAAATATCAGCTTTGCAGCTGCCACTATCATCTCTGTTTATAGATATTGGAGCTTGACCTGTTTCCAGTGTAGTCCTGTTTCTTTTACTGTGACTAGAATAATCTGGCTGTGTTTTTCCTGGAAGGGGCCACCTGTAGAGCTAGCTAACAGTTACCTTTTGTATCTCTGCTTCTATCTCATTGAACCCCAGTCAGCCTGGCAGATGGTCAGTCACACTGAGCCTGGATCTGCTGCAGGTTTCTTCCTATTAAAATTGAGTTTCCCTCTCCAATATCTCTCAATGCATGCTAGGTGTGAGGGATTGCTGAAGAGATGATGACTAAATGCAAGCGAAGCGAATGTCTTGCAAGTCAATGACTGGATGCAAAGAACTGGTTTTCCAAACCAATCTGACAGTACTGTCTCTGTAAAGTGCCTTGAGATGACGCCTGTATTGGTGCCATGTAAATAAACTGAATTGAATTGATCTCTATTTTTCTATATCTCATGAACACATAATAAAGAAACTTAGACCAACTTTGCCTCTATGCAAAGCACCTTTTTTTTTTAACATGAGAGCAGAGCAGCAGCAGATAAAGAGACGATCTGTCATTTTCATTTCCACCTCTTATCACTCCTTAACATGACACTAAGTGGCTGATCTTCAGGGGCGAACGAGTTTTTACACACATTTTTGTGCCTGTGCCTTCATCAATATGCAGATCCTATTCTAATTATCAAAAAGTACAAATGCATAGGTGAATGTGAAACTCAACTGCTGCAGCAGTTTTTGTGTCTTTTTTAGTACTTCTGAAAGGCAGGTGTAAACTTACAACCAAAAATATCAACAGTTATTGTGGCCCCAAAAAATGGCGCTGGTACAATGCCAGACCAACATATTTGGGCCCATTGAAAATAAGAACATTAACAGAAAAATTTACAAAGGCCGGCAAAGGTCAATGCAGAAGGACCTAATGCAAACTTCTTTCTTCATTGATTTAATAAAACATAACTGTGGAACAAGCATTTGTTTTGCACTGTAAATATTTAGTATTATCATTATTACTTCTGCCTAGATGGCTTAGAGACATTTACGGCCATTATCAAATCTGCTCATTGTAATGGGGGAACCAAAAAAACGGTTTGCAAATCTTAACCTTTATGCAGCAATCTTTGTAGATCACCTTCAATACGCCCACTTATTAAAGTAAGCTAAAAACTTTATTTTTTTTTTTATGTATATGCAATTTAGCACCTCTTATTTAAAATCTAAAATACTTTGCATTCTCTTCATAAGTCACTTTATGTTTAGCTTTAAATAAGGCTATGATTGAAGAGTGAGATAAAACACATTTACTGCTACAGCTCACCTTTCTGTGTTATATGTAGGAATTTGGCACCTCAAAATTAAGAAATAACGAAACCAATAACACCAAACATTTCTGTAACCTTCTCCTAACTTTATTTCAATACCTTAAAGGTATTGTGGAGGATTTTTAAAAGACCCACCCTCTCCGTTTGAAAAAAAAAAAAATGCGTGTGCAATAGCATGCACACATTGTGAATGTGTCCACATTCAGCGGGGATTATAGTGGACTTTATAGCAAACTCAGTTAACTGACTGTTTGGACAGATGATCACTGCTTTTTGCTCCATTGGACACCTAACTCCTCTTCCAACTGCACCATCTTTGTTTTTAGTTGCAGCTGTCGGGTAGCGACAGGCTATGGCGATAGCGGGCAGCTTTAACAGCAAATCCCATAGTGCTTTGCGAGGAGAGCTTCCACGCAAAGCATTTAGGGATGCATCTGCCTCTTCTCAGGCCTTTCTTTTCTTCTCATACACTTCCTAGAAACTTTTTGTCTTACGACCCTCAGCCATTTCTAAAGAACTGCGGTGAGACAGGTGACTGTCTGACACGGTAGCTCACCATACATATACGCCTGAAAGTGTGCATGCGCAGAAAAAGATAGCTAACAGGTTGAGCACGTAGGACAACCTTAAGTAAACATATCACCAGATCAATAGACAATTAGGAGAACCACTTATTTAGATGATCCAGCCGGAAATAATAAATTGTCCTCTATACCTTTAAGAAAACACTTGTTTAAAAAAAAAAAAAAAAAAAAAAAAGCTTTAAAGGAAAACTGAATCAAATAGTGAACATTGTTAGCAAATAGAGGTTTGAAGACCTGACAGTTTATCCTCTTGACATGAAAAAATAGGACTTGGTGTTTAAAATGCAAACCCTGCTGCACCTCAGCATTTTATTCCCCAAGTTATTAAGAGTGGAAGGGATGAGGTCACTAACCGTTTCATCAGTACAGATAGAGTGGACCTGAGTCCCAAACATGACAGCAGTGAAGATCAGGAAGAGCAGACCCTCAAAGCACAGGAGGATAAGGAGGATTACTGTTGCTGGTGGAGAAAAGTTGCTGCACTCTGAAAGAAAGAAATGAGTTTCTGTTACCTTAAAACCAGAGACACACCTCTTTAAAACTGTATAATGGTTAGCTTTATGCTTTCTCTTTTTCTTTGACCTGGAAAGCCACAAATTATGCATTCAAGTCTATAGGCAAGAAAGGTTAAAATAGAGATGTCCCGATCCAGGTTTTTGCACTTCCGATCCGATACCGATACTGGCCGATACCAGCCTATCCGAGCATGTATTTAAGTTTAAGTTAAAGTATTTACCCTTAGTTGTAAGACTCATGTTGAAAAGGGTTTTAGTACTCTTGATAACATCTAGCCAGCTGAATTAGGTGAGATTGAATAAAACACAATGCTTGGTAACAACAAACTTACCTGTTTATTAAGAGATAAACACAAACTGGACAAAATTATGAATAGCAATCTGAAATTGCACAGTGAGCAGTTAAACTGTAAACAGTTAAAGGTGCAAGTATTACTGTAAGTTTTAATAAAAATGCAAAACAGGGAAACACTGGCGCAAAATAGTGGAATGGATCGTTTCAATTGGCGAAACTGGAAAATACGGACCGGATTTTTTTTTAAAAACTGGATCGGCAGTCTGGATCGGCATTTTACATGCTTTGCCGATACGCATTTTTTTGCCAATATCGGCGTCCCGATCCGATACGTGGATCGGATCGGGACAAGCCTAGGTTAAAAATGTCATTATCTAGCTCTCTTTAAATACTAATTTCCAAATAATTAGAAAGTATAACGTATTGTTGTTTAAGGGTTACAGCCTTATTTCTTAGCAAATCACTTCTAGTGTCCTAATTGGTGAATAGAAATTGTTTCTCTAAATATCAAGGTTCGAAAAAATTTTTTTTTTTTATCTTTCAGGAGGAAATGTGAAAAAGCAGCACACAGATCACCCTGATATAAAAAATAAGCCTTCTTTTTCAATGTCAAAGGTTTTCTGTGGTCTGGAGCAAGATAAGAAAGGTCATTTGAAGGAACTAGTGAATTATCATCAACAAGAGAAAAGCAGATTTAAAACCAAACCTGAAGTGGAATTTAGGTCTTCTGTGACTGTAAAGGGCCATTTTTAAAGGGTTTGAAAATGTGTTTGTGTTGATCAAACATCAGGGGTAAAATATACAAAAGTCGATATGAAAAGAATTTAAACTGTCTTTAAAAAAAAAAATGTTTAGGTCTCCAACATACAGATACTTTAAAGAAAAAGATTTAAATCAGTTTTATTACAGTAATATATATATATATATATATATATATATATATATATATATATATATATATATATATATATATTTTTTTTTTTCTTTTTTTTTTTTCTTTTTTTTTTTTTTTTTTACTATATAGAGACATGTTTGTGGAGTCTCACAGTTGTAAACAGAACATGTGCACAACTAATGGAGGTTAGCATCATTCTAAAACATAAGCAAATATAATTGGATCATAGTTAAACAAAATGAGCTTCCTACTCATCAGTAAACATCTTGAAACTATCAAATAAAACAATAATCTAATCCGGAAAATGTCAAAAGAGGCAATAAATCAAAGAGGACAGGGGGTTATTTTCTCACTCATACAATCAGATACTTACTTGTCCAGTCTTCTTCAAAGCAGAACACAAAGTGGAAGGCTGCCATAACTAATGCATGGAAGGATATTAGTGCAATGTACATCTGAAAGACAAACAGACTGAATGTAAATGGCTTAAAAGAGATCAGCAATTTTTTATTTTTATTGTTATTTTGTTTCACTAAAAGACTCACAGTAAAAAGAACAAAGTATTTCTGGTTGTTCTCTCCAACACAGTTGTTCACCCAGGGACAGTGGTGGTCCATCTTTTTGATGCAGCGTTTACACACACTGCAGGCACATGGTTAGATAAATAAATACATACAGGAAAGCAGTGAGGTGGCTATGAATATAGAGCATATATACAGCACATACAAGCACAAATTATCTATATAAACTTAGAAATTGCATGCATCCCCCAACTAACAGGAGTGGACCATTGTTTGCAGCTGTGGAGTTGTTTTATGGGAGGGTAGGATCTTTCCCATTGCAGATATATGAGCTGTACCAACTGTCCTTTCAACAAAGCTCCACCTCAGAGGGTAAAATCATTAGAGAAAAACAATATTTCAATCTACTCTGACTTTTGGCTCTGAAACACATCAACTCCCTGACTTTAAAATTTCAATCACTCTCCTGTGTCTTTGCACTTTTCCTGCCTGGGTATCCCATAGAAACTAGAGCCACTACAGAGGGAAATCCCATTCTGCAGGGAAATGTTGCTCAAGCAGTGTGAAAAAAGGTAAATTAAGCACACATGAGGGATGCAGAAGCAGCAGTGCAGCGAAAAAAAAAAACCCACAGGAGGAGCCAGATCCCACTGGGGAAATAGCATCAAATTAAAGCAGACTGAAAGACTTTGCGGTGTGCAGCGTTACCTGCAGTGGTGTGCCCGGTCGGGTTTGATGCTGCAGCACTTTGGACATTTGTAAACCACCTGTCCTGGTTTGAGCTGCAGACTTTCAATGAATTCTTTGGTTGCGTTCCCTTTGGGCACAGCTCCCTGCAAGACAGGGGAGCGAAGGGAGCGAAGAAAAAATAAATAACCGTTGAACTGAAAATAGAAATATTTTAATAAAAACCTAATTTACAAGCTCATAGATTTTGATTCTAAGGAGTTTTTAACAGACAATATACAATAATATATACAAGGTTGATGGGGGGGATAAAATGTAAGTCAGCTTTGACATTATAGAACAGAAAGGTCTGAAAAGGGAATTAAAGAATAATATTAATATGATACTAAAAAAACATGTTGCAATAAACATCTATAATATTAGCAATTTTTAACTACATTTAATTTCTTCTATCATTTTATGCATTTTTTCCATTTATACACTAAAATTGTGAGATTGGTTGAAAGAAAAACAAAGGCAGAATTGAAATTAATATAGTACAGTTTTAGTAAAGTAATGCAAACTATATTAAATAATATCAAACTGTAATTAAACTGTAAAATTCTCTGCTCTGCAGCCATGTTTAACCAGTCTTGTGACAAATTGCAGAATTTGGGAAATGTTTTAACTCCTTGCCTGTAGTACATACTCTAGTAATATTCGAACTATAGACTGACTATAGACTTCAGGAAAAAAGAAAATCTGGTGTAAAATCACCATACTAAATATACTAAAACATCATGGTACAAATTTAACTCATGATATCTGCAGTCAGAAGTGGAAAACAGTAACAGATAATCACTACTATCATTCAGAAAAGCATGAACCCATCAGGTTTGGGTTGGTTAAGTTTGCTCAATATGACTAGTTAAAGCAGATATCTTAATCTCTAAACACCAAGCTAATTCAAAAAGGTCTCATGATGACACACAGGATGAATAGGACTGATCTGCCGGTTTTAAATATGCATTAAGTAGTTTGAGGTTCCAAGTAGTAACCAATAAAAGTGCAGTGATAAAACTAAAGTAGTAAGTGATAAGCTAAATAGTCATTAATAGCAAGCAAGTGAGCAAGTTTTTTAAAGTAGCTTATACTTTTGGAAGACTTTCAATATCATACATTTGCTTACTACATGCAAAAGCTCATCACTATTGATATGCACCATTAAATGCACTACCATGAAACTCCAGACACTAAATAAATTCAATGAAGTTAATAATTAAGAATAATAAAACATATAAATCTAATATAGATGATAACACTGAAAACTTTTTTTATTTGGATAAAAATCAGGTAAAGTTGAAGAAGATTAAAGGGTGAAGTTTTCCTTTTTCTCCTGATGTTTATTACTAATATCCCCATAAAAAATATGCAACTTTTCTTTAATTTTTTATAGCTCGTCAAAAAATAAAAAGCGTTGTGGAATCAGCAGGTCAAAGGTAGAAGGAAACTGGACATCTGAATCAATTTGGAAAAGTCTGACACATTTAGTTATAAGAAAGCGCTACCTGGTGTTCAACAGCTCTACACTGGGGTTCACGCCTTATAGCAAACATATTTTTTTAATGTATATTGCAAAAATATGAAGGATAACAACCTGCATTTGGCGTTTGTAAAATTTTTGGTTTATTTAGGACTCAATTACATTCACCACTAATTATAGTACAGAATAGTAAGGACTGCACACTTCATTGAACTGAGAATGTATTCCTTATTTAAAATATACACAAATATGTTGTTTCTAAAGAAATGCTCTTCTAAGGAGCTAAATATAACTCTAATAAATAGTTCCAGCATATAACTGTTGTGGGGGTGAGTGTTTTATTGGTTAAAAGTGAATTCCAACTGACCGGGTCTGTGCACATGGCTCTGGCGTGAGAGGCGAGGGCGAGGAAGGCGAGGCCATTAAAGATCACCCCGTTAAAGAGACTATAGGCAATATTTTTGGCTGGCAGGAGCAGGACGAACACCACAACAAACTCTGCGTAGAAGACCAGGAACCAGGTGATGATGCCACACGCAATGCCGCAGCCGTCACGGATAAACCACATGGTGCCTGAGCTGCTGCGGGGAGGAGGAGGGGCGCAGTGCTCGGGCTTCAGGTAGCCGGCTTGCCGCTCAATGTCTCTGGTGCGGTGCGCCGGGCTCTTCATGCTACAGCCCCCGTGGCTCCAATCTCATACTGCAGGGAGAAAGGAAAAGCAGGAGGAACAGCAGAATGCAGAAGAAAAAGGGAACAATTAGAAGAAATCTAAGGAACTTTGATACAAGCATACATACACGTTAACTATCAACTATCATATTAAGCATTCATACTTTTTTTTCCACAACAAAGTTTCTAGAACCAAATTTCCAGAGTTCTGTGTAATTTTTAATGGATACAAAATTCAATCACAGACTGAAAATACCAGGTATCTCTAGAGTAGTCTGATTTTGATCTAGAACCAGCATAAAAAAATGAGACAGATATATGACAGAGAGGAGAGAGGCTTGCATGAAATATTTCATAAATGCTTTTTGCCACAGGAAGATTCTTGATTAACTTTTTAGTCTATATTTCTTCTACATTACAATTGTGCAACTGAGTGGCCACCACGACAGGTCAAAGATTCAGCTATGATTGCCTTTAAGTCGTCTGAATGAGAATCGAGCCTAAAGGCTGGTATTCATTTAGCAGAAATTAATCCCTAAAAGGGTCAGACTAAAGTTGCCTTATAATTATTTTTTTAATCCAAAATAGTTTAAAATACCCAGCTAGCTACCAAGAGATATACATTGATCAGCGATGGTTAGGTAGACACAGACTAAATGAAAGCAAAGAGGGATAAAAATACCAACACATGGGAAATATCAGTATGACTGGTGAACAGGCGGATTTCCAGGAAGCCCACTCAGTCTGCTAAATCTAGTCCTTTATTCTTTACAAATCTGTATTTTTACACATTAAAAGAACTTTTTGGATGTAAATGAAAGGCCGGATTATAGAACAAAAGAATTGATGTGTCTTATTATCCCATTTTTAAATAGTTTGGAAGAAACTTGCAAAATATTAGAGGATTGTGAGAAAAGCCTTTCAGCTATTAGCTATACAAGATGTTATTAAAAGGGCTTCCAGAGGGAGGATATAAATTACCTTTTGTAATGCTATGCTTTTTCTAACCTACAAATTAAGAGTGATGGATCAAAAAACAATAATGAAACAATGCAAATATTGAAATCTAAGTAAGTCAATTTTTCTTCAAATAAGCTGTTTTTTCTATTGAGCAGGTAAGTGAGACACTTTGCAAATGGAAAAAGACTATTTACATTTATAAATAAGAAGAAAAAAAAAACAGCTGCAGTGTTGTATTCCAAGTGGATCATATCTAATTATCTTTTTTAAGGGTAAAAACATTAATTCAATGGATAGATTATCTTATTTACCAACTCAAAGTAAGGTTAAATACATTGTTTTTAGATCATTTTTGCAGTGACGGCACTGGAAGCGATTGCTCAACCAGGAAGCATTCACAACTGTCACTGAAGTTATTGGTATCTTGTGAAACTAGTAAGAGTCTAAGTTCTCTCAGTCAAAGAGATAAGGAGGAACCTTCACTGAAACTGAAACTCATCCTGCCTGTTGATCCCAGGGGACAGAGGAGTTTCCTGTTTAGCCTGTGAGGATTTTAGATTCATACTGAGGAACTAGGGTTACCAAAACCGCTTGAAGCACATTCAGATACTCATCAATAATTTATTGGCGTGTATGACAGCCTGTTGCCAGAACACATATAGTGACAGAGCAGTGGGATGATGGCATCTAACAGAGAGAGGGAGTATTAGACACAGACAGAGCTCATCTCCACAGGGACAACCAGTTCATTAATGCCCTCATGTGGTTTCATCAGATACTGAAAATAATGCTTTGTGCATTTAACCTGCTAGTCAAGGTATTCCAAAACAGTCAGCAAGTTAAAGTTACTTTTTTCTTTTTCCCTGTAAATATAAATTAAGTCTATGGCTGTGTCCAAACGTTCGCCTTAATCACTGTATAGGGCACTATGTAGCGGTTACGACATTTTAAATGAGTTTCTAAAATGTCTAGTGGATGAAAAAGTAGTGGACTCGAAATTATGGTCACTAGACGATCAGATCTACAGAACCTATCAGAACAATAAAAAAGGCAAATTGGGAAAAAAATATCGACAGCTGGGACAAAGATTCCACTAATGAGACAGATTTATGTCGAATGAAGGAAATGTTGTTATATACAATAATATACCTTTATTTCCTAAAATGTTAATTACAGCAAATTAAAACCCCCCAAAATAAAGTATTGTAGATGACAAACAGAAAAGGATTTCTAAACATAAAATATGTGCCTACTGAAAAAGTATGTGCATGTGTTGTACAGTTAAAGGACAATTCCGGTTTTTAACACTTTAAGCTCATTTTCTGTAGTGTCCAGGATGAAATCGAATGATCGACACCAACATTTTGACAATTGGTCCTGTCTCTGCTTTTTGGCTCATGCAGAATCCACCCCTGGCTGCTTCAGAATGGCTTGCATAGTGCATGTCCGATAATGTCCTTAAAACAACCTTAAACGTTCTTTTTTTAAAATATGCTACTCACCGGGTCGTCAGCGCTGTTCAATGACGTTCCAAAAAAAGTTTCGTAAAGAAAAAAACGTTCCTGTAGTGTTTTATTTAGCATTTTGTAAATCCCATTGAGTTCTGTTGGAATAGTCAATATTCCCCTGCCACCGGAAACGGAAATGGGGCCTGTTTACACAGTTGTAGTCTTTTCGCTTCACTCTGTGTACTCCGACGTTGAGGGGCTAACGTCTCTGTTAAACACTTTAAAAAACTCTGAAAATGGAATACGAAAGGTGGATTCTTGATTCTCGATGTCGGAGTACACCGAGTGAAGCGAAAAGACTACAACTGTGTAAACAGGCCTCATTTCCGTTTCCGGTGGCAGGGGAATATTGACTATTCCAACAGAACTCAATGGGATTTACAAAATGCTAAATAAAACACTACAGGAATGTTTTTTCTTTACGAAACTTTTTTTGGAACGTCATTGAACAGCGCTGACGACCCGGTGAGTAGCATATTTTAAAAAAAGAACGTTTAAGGTTGTTTTAAGGACATTATCGGACATGCACTATGGAAGCCATTCTGAAGCAGCCAGGGGGGGATTCTAAATGAGCCAAATAGCAGAGACAGGACCAATTGTCAAAATGTTGGTGTCGATCATTCGATTTCATCCTGGACACTACAGAAAATGGGCTAAAAGTGTTAAAAACCGGAATTCTCCTTTAATTCAAAGAAACGCTTGACCGGGGCAAATTTTGGGATGAATCGCTGCATCAGGGCATCATGAAGATTTTTACACACCACAATGACCAAAATAAATAAAAATGTAGAAAATAAAACAAATTAGGCAAAACAGCCTGATGCTTCTGCTCAAAAGATTAATATTTAAAAGAGAATCTAAATAATTTACAGTGAGGGCCCCCTTTACAATAAGTGAAAGATGGTTCCATGATTTTAGGAGCAAAAATCAGAGAAAGCCCAGTTTTCTCTGCCCAGAGGGAAGTCCTGGAACAAAAGGCTGCAGGTTATCTGACCTTATGGTTATGCAGAGAACATGCTTGTGTGTGGGAGTGGATGATGGATAATAAATGATTACAGAAATAGAAATATATGTCTATTCTTACTTAAGAATATTTTTCTACGAACTTTTGCATCAGGGTAGAGTGAACAGAAGGATACTTTGGATGGGCAATCAGATGGGAAACAACTCTTCTGTAACCATGTGTTTAAGCTGCCATCTTGGCCAGGTCAGTCTGGGAAATGGGTTTAAATTTCAATGATGTAATTCATGTGGTTGAATAAAAGGATATAATAAAAAGCTAGATGGTTGTTTGGTTTGAATGGATCACTGATGTTAGAATGGATTGATCAAACATGAGGAAAAAGCTCTCCATACTTTTCTAGACATGGGGTAACCATGGAAACAAAATGTTGAGATCACCTATGGTCCCCAGCCATTGAGCCAGGATGGATAACATTCAGAAAATGAAATAAAAGGTTAAAAGTTAGACACACTCCAGTGTATTGAAATATATCAGGGTGTTTGTCTAAAGAAATACTGTAGAACTGATGGTACTAAACAACGAAAATATCCCAGCAATCTTTAGAATAAGACGAGAAGGCATCACCTGTGTAGTCAGTATTAGATTTTTTCTTTTTAAAGAAGCTTTTTATTCTGCTGATTAATGATCGCATCTAATAGATGGAACTCCAACCAGGAAGTTAACTCTGGCAGCTAGAAAGGAGCAGGGAATGTTTCCCATCATTATAGTTGGGAACAAGCTTAGTTTGGATGTTCTGGTTATATTTGAAAGCTAAACAACTCACCTCCTGGTTTATGGGATTACTATGATGTCTTCTTGTAGTTCTTGCTTTGTTTTTAGCTCTCGGAGACAGAAAAGAGTCCAACCAGGGTCAGCAACGCGCTCGTTTGCTAGCTCAGTCCAAGCTAACCTCTCAGCTGCTGCTAACGGCTCTGCTAGCCGCTTCGCTGCCTCTGGTTCAGACTCTCCTGCTTCTACATAAAACTGTTATGTCAATGAAGAAAAACGCGACTGAAAACCTGCTGCCGCTCCGCAGCTGCTCTGCTCGGTTACATCCACCAAGCTCTGCGGGAAGAGGAAGTCAACAAATCGGATCCATCCAACCAGGAAGTCAATGCCAGGAGAAGGGCGTTGTGCCCTGAGTGCAGTCTGTCAGGTTGTTTATTTTTCCCAAAACCTGCCATCAAATACCAACATGCTGCTGAATTAACAAACATACGCTAGAAAATGATAACTACTAACTGACCTAGTTTATTATATAATGTTTGGTAAATGACTGCTGATTCGTCTATAAAACAGTAAAAGTAGGATGCTGTTGAAAACATACTTTAATGTCTTCCTGAAGCTATATCTCTAGGTATAGGAAAATACTTCAATTAGCTGATGTTAATCTCTCAAAGCTGTCATATTTTTAGGAGCCCATTTTAAATGCCACTTTTCCTGAACTCTGGAAACAAAAACAAAAAAAAATAATAACTAAAGCTCTACTATCAAACAACAGACCAATCAAATATAATTCTAAATAAAAACATAATCAAATATATAGCAGAAGACACATTTTAATCAAATAATGGGTTATTTTCATAAAAATGGATTGCTAACGCTGTTCCAACATGCATACAGACAGGGCTTCTCAAATAATACTGCACTAGAACTAGCAATGGTTACTATGTTTGGATGAAAGGAAACTAGTAGGATTTTTTATTTTGGAGGCCTTATTATGGCAGAAATGAAAACATCCAGGTTTCACAGATACATTGGTCTGGATGCAGTGTTATATCTTTAATAGGACACAGAAGGTCTGTATCAATGGCAGTTTTTTAACAGTATAACATCATGCAGTCTATCACAAGGAAACTGTTTGGGCCCACTTAAATACAGTTGTTGACTGGGTGAAAAATAATAAATGGTATTACACAATTCTAAAATTTAATATTTCACTTTTTACAGTAGATTTACACTACCTAATACTGGGCATTGAATTAGACAATTTATCATTGTGCTCAGGTCAAATTATTCACACAGCATTATTTGCAGTATATGTTCTGTGTATTTTGTGGTGGGCATTTTGTGGCTTTTAAAAAGTTTAAAACTAATGAGATATGTATTTCTGTTTTAATCACATGTACCCTAAATTGTATTTTGATGTCATTGACACCAGGGAAACTTGCAACCATTGCTGTGGAAGCTCGTGGGGATCCAAAAAATAAATAAATAAATAAATAAACTAGATTATAAATGGTAAATTCTATTTTTATTTTATTTTTTTCTAAGTGGTGAATGCAACATAGAAATATTTTTTTTAAATGTACATAAGGATTTTGGCTATCAGAATGCACACACGTCCCAGGGAGTAACTGCTTTGCTGAATCTCTCAAAACAAGAGAACCTCTTGCAACAAGAAAACAGTGTAGTGTTCAAAATTAGTTCCTTCAACCATCATAAATAAGTTTTCTTATGTTTGGAAAAGTCTGCAGTCTCGATTCACCCAACCTGTGCAGCCCCATTGGGTTAAACTAACTGTTGATCATTCAGGAAAGCAGCCTGGATAGAGCTGCAGGTTGTAATGCTGCTGTCCTACAACATCTAGATCATGGGGTCAGTTCCATCCTGAGGACTTTATGTGTTAAAGATATTTATGTTTTATGGCTATTGAAAAATAGATACGCCTTCCTTATTAATTTTCTCAACCAATTTCAGAGTAAATTGTTAAATTCTATATGCAGTGTTTTTTACAGAATATGCACAACATTTACTTATGGTATGATTTAATGTAATTGTGGTTTCGTGAAGATGTATTTGCCTTTGTATTGCCTATGCAAGTTGCCCTTTGTGAACATATGTAAAATTTAGAAGCTTTAAGTACTTAACCTGGCGCTAAATAAGTTAATAAAAAGGTTTTCCCTGCAACCTAGTTGCTGATTGCACCACATTTTTTCAACAATAATTGAAGGGTTGGTAGTTGAATATTTTGAACAGTTCATTACTGTATAGTAACTCAAGAGTTTCTGCACAGATAAAGAAAATGGTTCCAAACATAAACAGTTAGTAAAAAAAATGTCTGTACTCCTTACTGAACATTACTTCAGTGTTTCGAGGATTTTAAATGTGAAGGATTGTTAAATATCTGGGGAATGTTTGCATGAAATTACTGCAAAGGGATTTTTGATAGATGGATAATGATCAATAGTGATACCAGCAGAAAAAAAAAAAGTTAATAGAACTTTGGTTATGAGCAGAGATGGCAAAAGTACTCACTTTCCGTACTTGAGTAAAAGTACAGATGCTTGTGTTAAAAAATACTCTGGTAAAAGTGGAAGTACTGATTAAACTTCTTTACTCAAGTAAAAGTAACAAAGTACAGGCTTGTAAATTTACTTAAAGTATAAAAGTAAAAGTAGAAACCACATTTTAAATGGATGTCTGCCAATAGGACTAGATCTCCGTTGTGTTCATTTTCAATCATCTCGTCGTCCATACTACTATGCTAACGCCACCGCCACCAAGCTGCAATGATTTGCCGCCAATGAATACCGCCGAATCTGTCGATTCATCTTGTAGTGGTGCGTCAAATGCAACGTAGATTCCCATCCAATTACATTGAATTTGGTATTGACGACGTGAAAAATAATAACGGTAACTCCATTGAAATGATTCAAAACTAAAGTAACGAGCCAATTTTTTAAAATGTAAGGAGTAGAAAGTACAGATATTTGTGTAAAAATGTAAGGAGTAGAAGTAAAAAGTCGCCATAAAAATATGTAGTAAAGTAAAGTAAAAATATCAGAAAAATCTACTTGAGTACAGTAACGAAGTATTTGTACTTTGTTACTTCCCATCTCTGGTTATGAGTAATAAATGAAAAGACACTAGGTACAAAAACATTTAAATTCTCAAAAGACATGAGAAGAAGTTTCGAAACTATATCTGACCATACTAATAAAGCAATACTCTTTTCATCAAAGCGAAGAAAATTGCCTATTGCAGAGAATTTCTGATTTCCAAACTAAACCTGTATTTACAGGGCTGATACAGACACCTAAAGAAGTCAGAGTGAATGACAATATATGGTGGATCTAACAGGCTTTAGGAAAGCAGAATATAGATCAGATCCTGTTTGGGAAGGGAAAGGTAAATCAATCATTAAAAAGAAAGAAACAGAATTATGGCAAAAAAATATGGGATGAAGGGAGAAGATTGGATAGTGTTCAAAATCTGTAATTGTTAAAAATGATGGAGAAAGAAATAGAAGGGAAGAGATAATTTATACTAGATTAAGAACTGGTCATACCTACTTGAATGAGTTTTTGTTTGTACTACGGAAGAGAAATAATAATTTATGTGAGGGTAGTGAAAGAAAAGAAAAGGTTGATCATGTTTTGATGGATTGCATTAAATATGCACCTGAAAGAGAGAGGATGAGGAAAGTAATTATGGAAAAAAGAGAGAGATTGGAGTATTAAAGGAATTTTAGGGACAGATGGAGATAGTGAAGAAAATTTGATTATTAATAAAGCATTGTTTTTATTTTTACATAACACAAAAATAAAAAATAGAATATAGTAGGTGGAACTATAGAACTACACACTCATGTACAGTAGGTGGCAGTATGCACCTATAAACTGTTTGCAATCCGCCATTCAACATAGAAGAAGAAGAAGAGCCCGGAAGAGGGGTGGAAAAATAAAACATGGCAACAGTACAAGTTAGCGAGGCTGAGAAAGTGTACATCCTTCATGGAATAAGGGTAAGGCATTGGCTCCTGTTGGGACCGTGAAGCTGAACGTTTGTGGTAGAATTTAAAGGGTATGTTCGCCACCGAGCCGCCCGTATTCATTAGTTTTCTCTGGTTCTGTTTAGGATGATTTACGGGTGGATGGAAGAGGCTGCGAGGACTACAGACACATGGAAGTGGAAACAGATGTTGTTTCCAACACTGACGGATCTGCTAAAGTCACCCTGGTAAATTAATAAATTTTGTACGGTTCAGTCATATGGCACCAATTCATCACACGTCATCTAAAGACACCTTAGTGAGTCAGTTCAATCAGCTTATGCAGGGAGACCTTGCTTGTTGCACAGTGTCATTGACTTTGCAGCAATCCCTCACACCAAGTATACCTGGAGAGGAGAAACTCCCTGATAAATGCTAAGTTTCAGTTCCATGATGCCTTATTTTTTATCTAAACAACTTGAACAGAAAAAAAAACACATTTGAGCTCATGAAGACTAAATGATTTAACTATTTTACAGGAAATTCCACCACGTCATTCTAACACACTATAGGAGATATTGCCCATTAAATATGCAATTATATAGAATCCTAATCAGCCAAATATTAAGCAGATCAAGTGCAATTCATCCCAGTCTGGTCATTTTCAGTTAAAAAACATCCATTTCAATCCTAATTGTGTTAAAGTACATAATATGTGTTTGTAAATGTTTACCATGGGTCTCAGATCGTCTCGTTCTTCCTTTCAGGGCCACACTGCTGTTCTTGTTGGTGTCAAGGCTGAGATTGGAAAACCAAGACCTATGATTCCAGATGAGGGATACCTAGAGTTCTTTGTGGATTGGTGGGTTTGTGTTTCTTTGCATATATGGAGTCAGAATTACTTATTATTAATTATATATTATCAATTAATTTGTTCACATGAAGAAATTGTCTGTAGAGTTCCTGCACAGTTTGTAAAAGTATTCAATTCCATTGTGTTCATTTTACATTCTGAATAGATATAGGGAAGTAGTTGGATTTCCACACCAAATTGCATAACCCAGTCTTAAAAAGTTGCCTCCATGCATCCTTAAATTAGTGTAACCCTTGTTATTTCAATGGAAAGGATGGCTAGTAGTAGAACAAACAAATACAGGGCTATGAGCAAGTATATTTCCTCCTTCCAGCCTTTCATTTTTTTGTCACATTTAAATCTTTGAGATAATCAAACAACATTCAGCATCAGATAAATTTAACCTAATATACATGTGTAAGGCAGTTTTCAAATGTGGATTCAATTTACATGGGTTAAAAACAATCCATTCTGACCCCATGTGGAAAAAGTCATTTCTCACTTGATTAAACCATGAAATACCTGTTTAATGAACATTTCTGAAAGCTGAGATCAGTATTACAAGATGTAAG